GACATATGGTTGTGTTGTCTGAAGTGATGGTTCGCTTTACAACAGCAATTCGCCTTTAACGACCTAATAATATTAGCAAAAGTTGCAAATATAAATTTATATTTAAAAAGCAAAGAGAGAACCATCTGAACAGGTGAAGAGAATACAAACATAACGACAGGATTTGTTAACGATAAGAATACAAATGTTGTCTAACTGCGTTGCATTCGGTGTACCGCAAGCTTCTAACAACGATGTCTGCACAGCTTCCAGAAAGTGCAATGGTACAGATCACCGGATCATTAACGAGATGAAATTGAGGACATTATTTCATGAACTAGAGATCGGATCGGTGCCTGGTTTGGTTTGATAAAATGACCAAAAAACGAAAATGGAAATGTATTCAAAACTTTTCTCTTTTGGAACCGCATACTGGTCGCAGACCAGAATAAACCTCGTTGAGGCAGATCTGCTTGCGGACAGGAATACTTCCATCGCCACAGAGGCGAATTTTGCCTAAAATCAATCTGAGATTCTATCATTAACGGTATTAACAGACATCCCAAATTTGGGTTACTCATCTGCATGTGTTGTCAGTGCTCTGTGCGGTTGGTCAGTAGACTGTTCTGACCTCATGAAAGCTGTACACGTTGCTAGCATTTAACTGCAACAACTTTTTGTGTCCTTATTTTGTCTTTGTTTGTGTTGTGTGTAATACTTGCGTAATTCCCACTTTACTGCTGCTGCCCGACTTTTCTCCCGTGATAAATTTTTCGCCCTCCAACGTGCTCCATCGACGAAGCACTTAGAGAAAAAAGCTAAACGCTCCTTGGTGAATCTTCTTACCTAGAATTTCGACATACGCCGATTTCCATGAACTGGCAGGCAGAAGGCTTTGAAAACTATGAAACCGGAAAACAAGACCTTTCCTTCTGTTTTCTTGACAAATATCCGTTCGGGACTGAACAAACTGGCAGATCTCACTATGATTATAAAGAATAGAGGAACCTCATCTTGTAGAAGAATAGTGGCTTCATGCAACAGGTGAAGACGCAATGGTCAGATTCGACAACTACAGTGTACAGAAGTGACCGTTATTCAAAGTCCAAGCTTCGCGGAGGTGATGCACCTACTTATATTAATCAAGTGATGCACCCGATGTTTGATTCAACTACAATATTTAACCGAGGACATATAATGTCTTATCTTGCATTGTGTTATTACGTCCTTGCCTGGTTATTCCAACATGATTCTGGTAAACTTATTTACATCGCTGCCAGGTGCATTCTCTCACAATTACATTCTTTCTCAGATACTTTTACGAACTGCGTATCAACACATCTGGGAAGGTCTTTGTTTATAGTTGCCAGCGATTTCAATAGACACGACAAAGCCTTTGATACATCACTCGGACTGTCCAACATCGTCACCTTTCATACATGCTTGTCAGTCCATCTTGAATGCGTAATGGCCAGCGCTGTAGCTGCATTCGTGGTCAAACGGTTCCCGCCAGTTTCTGGCTTCAATAACTGTGTCATTAGTCTAATCCTGAAAACTTACAGTAAAATGAGTTAGCGTAAGTTTCTCCCAAAAGTTCATCACCTGAGGTAATGTCCTGCAGAAGCCCAAGAAATGCAAGACGTCTTCGTAACAGCAGACTGGATGATTCTTTATGGCCCGTCACTGAACGACCGAACGGATGCTATTAGCTCCTACTTAAACTTCGTGTGCAACAACTGCTGCCATTTCTATGAGGTTATAGTCGTGCAGAACAGGCTATATATTCGGTTAAATGCACGAATCATAGGAGGAAAGTCAAACAACATGATCTTCAGGAAACTGATCATACCCTCAGCATCACAATCTCTCATTTCACTTCTCCTTTTACTTCCTAACAAAGACCGGCAGTCGCAAACATACTGATAGATCATCGCTACTACTCTCAGGCTAAAGGAGACGAATCAGCACGTAGTCAGTATTTAGAAATACGCACAAAATGTCCGATGCATCCAAGTATACAAAAATGTCAGCTGAAAGCGAAAC